CGCCTATTTTAAAATAACGGTGGTCAACGTCGCGGAAGCATCAAAGAACTGTCAGACAGCAAAGAAACACATCGTTACAGAGTGCAATGTCAGAAGATGGCACGTTCAAAAAGAGCGGAAAAATGCGGACAGCAAAAGAGAAGCTTATCAAAAAAATTGCAGAGCTGCAGGGAAAGAGTTGGAGTGACAGTGAGTGCGGCGAGGCAGAGGATGTCTGAGTAAAAGCCTCATACAAGTTTCTCAGACGTTGCGTGAGCAAAGTTCAGAATGCATTCTAGTTGAAGTGTTGCAAGATTTCAATTAAATGTGTCATTACTGGGGGGGTTTTAATAGTTAAATTGCACAAATCTTTCATGCAATATTAATATCAATAAAACTGTTAGCACTTCAATAAAGAATATTTTCTTAAAATACATTTTTTTGGGTTTTTTTGTTTTATTTTTCTAAAAACTGGTCCTGGAAAGAGGGGGTCATCTTATAATCACGATAGTCCTATTTTTGGGTCAGCACGGTACTGTTTTCCTATTTTGTCTTTCAAAAGTCTTCAGTAAAATCCAAAATGTAACCAGAGATGAAAAAAGCACACATGTAATTCTGCGAATGTCCAGACTGAGTAACCATGGTAGTCAGTCTTGTCAGCTTTTTTACCTGAGAGGCCGATTCTCCCGCCCATCATAAATGTGAAAGAAGACTTCCAGTTCCTCCCCCAGATTGGCACTCATCAGGCTTTTCACATGAACAAATAAGTGATGTGTGCTCGCAGGCGTAGCAGTCTCCTTCTTACGATGCCGGTGTTCCATCTGCAGCAGAGGGGGGAGAAATCAGATTATAAGATTATTTTACTGCTGCTGGAAGTTTTCGTTAGCGTTTGCCCATTACATAAAGAAACCAAACTTTTTAAGTTCTAAAAGGATGAAAATGTGCAAAACAAATACACCCGGAGGGGAAAGACATTTGCATAGGATCTTTAAATACAAACCAATCATATTTTAGCTGCTGTATTTAATATTGAATTTTAAAGTCAGAGATAAATAGCATCCCTGGGGATATCTCACAGCATGGGGTATCTCTGCTGCAGATTTATGTTTCAATCCAAACCTCAGAACAGCCTCAGATATAGATTAAGTGAAAATAGATCTGGGTTATAAAGCATGTAATATTCCAAACTGCCTACAGCACCAAAAAATAATGTTGGAGCCTGAAAAAACATAAACTGTCAGGTTTTTTTTTTCTGACTTAGAGAAAAGAATCAACAAATATGGTTGTGCATGGTAGTGGATGTAGTGCCATTCAAAAATGTGCAATTAATTTTGATAATGTTCCAAACTTTTGTTGTCTTTAAGATTTTAGGCAACAGACACATTCAAAGCAGTGCAAAGACATGATGGGAAGGTAATGTACTCTATTAAACAACATAGATTTTAATA